TCAGTTTCTGGGGCAGTTTGTACCATCACTGCTTGGAACCTTGTTTAGGTTTAACAAGGCTCAGCAATTTTAAGTCATTTATTTCATATGAGTACTAAAGCTTTACACACGCAAGTGATAGTTTCAGCCCTAGGAAATTATCCCTTGATGTTAGCTATCTGAATTGATATGAGATATATTGTTTTCTAAACACACAGCAGAGTTTGGGGACATCTTTGTCATCTTCTGTGAATCATGGTTTTCAGACTGTCTGGCTGGTGGAGAGGCCAGACCCAAGTTCACACTGGACAGACCTGTTTCCTCATTCGTGAACTAGGAATGCGTACTCATGGGCAAGTGTGGTAATCAAACAAAATGATCGGTGTAGACCAGACATAGAAGCACATGGTAAGCAGTCGGGTGTCCTAAGTCGCTGCTGCTCCTACACGGATGTTGCCGCCAACACCGCGGGCTACTGCCAACACCCTCTAATCCTCGGGCCCAAGACTTCAGAAAGGAGGAAAATGAGTCAACTACTTGGAGGCAACGTCCGAAGGCTACTGAAGCCATGTAATATTCCGGACCGTTTTCCACATCTTTCTTTGGTTATGGAACCTCTCTTTCAAAAGCTGCCAGAATATTTCACGCTCAAAGTTGTTTAAGATTGCTTAGGATTGCTTATCCAGTATTGGAGAAAGTGGATGTGACCAGCTCACCAGGATTTTCATTTTCTTTCTTTTCTTCTAAAAAAAGCGGGGGCTGAAATTAGGAAATCGGTGGCCAAAAAATCTTTAATCTTTTATTTTTGGGCTGTTTACTTTTACCGTTAGCAGTGCCCATATTTTCCCTTGTGGCAAACCATTCCACGATTCAGGTCCTAAAGTAAACTGCGAGTTCTAAGAAATCTGAGCCAGTTCTGCTGACCCAGGGGCAGGACATCTACCCAGTCTCGGGGAACAGGCCCTGGGGATGCGGCAGGTCTGGTTCCAGTCGTGCCCTCCCTGGCCCTGACCGAGCAGCCTAAAGCACCAGGAAGGAAAGGCCCTTTCGCCATCTGGCGCGGCTCCCCCACCAGTCGGTCCACCCTGCAACCTCAGTTATTTCTTACTCGATGGACTTTAGGTGTAAAGTGCCAGGGAGGCTGCAAGGCCCTTCTAAGTTAAACTCCCAGAATGTCTCCCAAGCAGCAGGCCCAGGCGCAGAGCCCGAACGTTGGGGGCCGGTCTCCACCCGGCCGGCCGCAGAGCACTGGATGCTCCTGCTTGGCTCCCGCCCGCCACCCCGACGGCTCAGAGGCCCCGCCCCTCCCCCTTCTCCCCGCCCACGGCCTCCGCCCCGGCCTCTGATTGGCACTCACACGTGTCAGTCGGTGTTGGGGCGGGAGTGCGAACGGCCGCCCCGCCCCTCCCGCGCCGAAGTCGGTGGGGAAGCGCAGGGGCGGCCCGGGGAGGACGGACCCACGG